CTTTTGCTGTTACGTAGCGTAGAGGTGGAGGTTAGAATAGGATGCTTAATTACAGCAATGGGGTCATGTGGCAGAAACACAAACCCTATTTACGTTCCCCTACCTCCCTGGGCAGGGTATGGGAAATAGTTCATGGTCCTTTTGAAACAAACAAAAAATAATTAATTAAATAAGAATACTTTCACTGAATAACCAAAATCATGGTCCTGACCCCTGCAGCAAAAGGCTTTTGCATACTGCTTCCAAAGAGAGCAGGCAGGCTCCAGTTTTGCTGAGTAAAACTCACCTTTCTTTTCTTTTCTTGAGGGGAGTAGGGGGTTGACTTCTGGAGGACTTGGGGGAGCATGGGGGGGGTGCAGCCAAAGACTGATTCTTGTTCTTAAGTTTGCCCTTGTCTGAGAAGCATCCAGAACAAATATGTGCTTGCATTTTGTATGCATTCATAGGCTTTAGTTGAATTGTAAAGCAGTACTCTAAACATTAAACTATGCTTTTACAATAGCCATCATTCCAGATTTATTTGTTTTGCATCATTCTTGATTCTGTGCACAAAATTCTTGGTAAGTTCTTTATTGTGTGTTTTGTAAGTAGGCCTTTCTGTTTGAAAGATTTAATTATCACCCACTGACTTTGGTTACAATGGCAACAGAACAGTAAAACTTTACAGCGAAGATTTAACTGGAGAGTCTGTGGCTTGGAATGCCTTTATTAAGTTTTAGAAACAGAGCTGGTAAGCATCAGCCTTACTTCTTAGCTGCTCACCAAAAAGTGGTAAAAACTTGAGACTGTTTTACCTTCTTGAAAAATCACTCTGTGTTTCAGCATATAATATGCATCTCGTGCTCAGTTTTTTCTTTGGGTGCCTTGTATTGGTTTATTGATAGGTTTTAGTGGAGAAAAATTGTGAACTGTAACTCCTTCACCCTGTTGCTTTTTATAAAAGCTCTGGAGACTGTAAATGTTCACATGTTCTACTGGAGGATTGCAAAAGTAACATTCATTTATAACATTTGAAGGATTATTCATGGAAAAATTATGCAAAGGAAAAAACAGTGAGATCCTTTGGGATATGTGTAAACTTTTCCAAATGTTCCTGCCACAGATCTCTGAACAGCACTCAGCTCACTCTGATGAAGTTGTCTCACGTTCCCTAATGCAAACAAATCTTTAATAATGTTTTAATATTTTTATACATTATTTTTGTGCATGTCAGCATAGTCTTGAAAATGATGCTGAGAAATAATGAAAACCAAACTAACCCTTGTTCATGCCAGCTGACTGGAAAATCCTGCTAAGAGTGCTTTGTCTCCATGAAAGGCAAAATAACAGAATAGCAATCATGGTAACAGTATGCACTAGGAGTGGAGCCAGGAGAGTAAAGAGGAGAGTTAGCAGTAGCAGATGACTTCACTTATTGGAAAAAAAGGGGCAAAATAACTCAATCTCAAATGAATTTAAATATTGGAATTTTGTTATCAGCGGTATCAAGCATAGCTTCCCCAGCTAATTGCTCAGCAGTCTGGTATGTCCATAAGTATCTCACCACTTACCCTCTTTGGCATCCTTCTTGGCACAGGCTCTCTTATCTCTTACCCCTTTACAGAAATTAGGTCATCTCCCCTGAGCCCCATAACTCATGCTGACACCCTCTGCACCCTGGGCTTCTTGCTGAACTGAGTGTGCCCTGCAGCACAGGTCCTGTCTAATGAGAGCTCTGAACTTCACAGTTCTTCATAGACATCTGACAGCAGTGCAGATGCAAAGACTTTGTAAAGGTTCTAAGCTCAGATTCCTTTTCCCTTACTACAGGCTTAACAGAGCAAACTAGCACAGGGTTAACAGAGGCAAGCTGTACATGTTCCCTTCTCTTGCCTTGGAGATGTGGAAGATACTGAACTACATACAAAATGGCTACTCCAGACAGAGTAATACCAGCATCGCTGATATTTCTGTCTTATCCCACAAAGCATTCTGTTTCCTGCTGTTGTTATCTTCATTAAAGACACATAACTAGGAATTAGAATAAGTCCGTTACCTTCTTTCACAGGACTGATGTACAATTAGTTGACTACAGTAGGACTGATGTACAAGTAATTGTAATCATGATGTATCACAAGGGTGCCATGCTGGAACTGTTGGCTTAAGTTGTAAGGCTCCAATACTTATTTCCACAAATTCTGTCAGCCTTGACATGTGTCACCTTAGCCAGGCAGAATTTTAACCTGAAGTCTGAATCTGTAGTCTTACTTTCTGAGATACACAGATATGCTTTTATTGGTAGACATCAAATTAATTGAACAGCCCTACTGCTTTCAGCTCTGTGACTCTCCATGGTGACAAACCTTTAAACTATTATGTATTAGAAAATTTAACAGTTATTTTTACATGTGGCATGTCTGCGTGAAAAAGCACTGCACCATACTGGTACTCATTTAGGGCTGTGCCTTGAGATTGCTACTCTTTCACAGGCTGTACTTTCAACAGTCTGTTAAACATAATGTTTCAGTAGCTCTCTGTGAACTATGTCATCCACTTAGAAGAACTTAATATAAATCAGGATTTAATACTGGCACCAGAGAGACAGAGCTGAATGACACAACAGGAAGCAATAGAAAACTGAACAAATCTTGCCGCCAAATTAAGGGACAAGCAGTGATTTAATGTGTTGCAAGGTGTGATGGTAACTTTGAAGTGGCCACATTAACACTGAAGTTTATGCTGAGTTTCAGACTAAACTCTTGCTGATACATGCTCATAATTTTCAGGAAAACTCTGTTTCAGCTGCCACTATCTTCATCCTGGGTCTCAGTTCCAATATATTTTAAGCTTCTTAGCAGGTAGTAAACACCTCAGTAGTCCTAAGTATTTTACTGTTCACAAGTTGAAAAATACCTGATGGAAAGGCACTACTTTTTATATTCTAACTTGTGCTTTGCCTCCACAGCAGAAGAGGAAGGTGAACCCTATTTTCTCTTGAGAAAAAGCTTCCAGTATTGTCTTACAGCCCACATCCAACAAAATTTCAGGGTTTGAAAATGAAGCAGAGAACTGTACTCAGTCCTCTTCCCAACTGCCAGGCGTATGGTTCTGGTTGAGTCTCTGGACCAAGTAATGCTTTTAAACTGCGTTTGGCCTTTAAGCAGAAGACCTTCTCCACAGCCACATATTCCAGTGACTCATGCTACTGCTGTCATGTTTCACAAATTCTCAACTGTGTGATGGAAGCAAAGACAGGCAGGCAAAAATGCTGTCCTGTATAAGATGTGATATAGGAATAAGGTAGAAAACAGGATTACAAACTATTGTTCTCCCACTAAATTGATGATCTTATGTATGATATTACTGAAGGTTCCTCTAATGAACCCATTTTCCCTCTCTGTTGCTAGAAGCATTTTACTCTTTCTGCTTGTCTTGAGGCTCCTTTCATTGTTAATTAAACAGCACAATGAATGATTTGCTCAAATCTGCAGAACACTGTGTGGATGAGATTCTTCTCCTTCCTGCTAGGGAAAAACCTTTGCAGTTCTTCATAGTAATGACCCAGTTCATAGTGGAATTCCTGAGTCTAGGCTGTAGGGAAATAAAAAATAGAAGTAATGTGGAATTGAGTCCAGTGTTTCATGCAACTTGATCTAAGTTTGTATTATTTTTTGCCTCTTATTAGGGCAAACTCATTACTGGTTCTTCCATTTCTTTTTATGTCTCATGAATCCTCAGTTCAAGGCAGAAGAAATAGACTAATAACTTCTGTGCTTGGGGAGAGATGGTATGGCCTATATAACAGATAGAATTAGAGAGTATCTCCAGTTGGAAGGAACCCATAAGGATCATCAAATCCAACTCCCTGCTTCTTGCAGGACTACCTAAAACTAAATTCTGTTACTAAGAGTGTTGTCCAGATGCTCCTTATGCTCTGACATACTTTGTGCTGTGACCACTTCCCTGGGGAGCCTGTTCCAGTGACCAACCACCGTCTCAGAACCAGGTGGCCTGATTTGAGGCCAGACGTTTTGTAAGGATTTTGATGATGGTTGTATGTGGTTTTTCAGATCACAAAGTTCCTGTCTGTGTTGACCTCTTAATGGGTGGTTTTAGGTTAGAGGCCAGAAGCTGACTAAGCTGAGGTCACTGGAGCCTCCAAGACGCGGTTCCTGTAACACAGGGGGAAATCTGTTTTGCTGCTACCTGAGCTGTACCAAGTCTGGAGACAGATATGGGGCAAATGGCCAGTTCATGACCGTTATTCCCACTTCTTTCACAGCACTAATGCCACAACTAAATGTTTAAAAGTGAAGTCTCAGCTGTTTATTGTGAAGCTAAGAATAGCCTTGCATTCACTGAGGATGATAGGCCATGTTGTTCTTCACTGTACTGCAACATTCACTGCCAGCCTTTTGCAAACAGCGTCAAGGAACTGGAACAGGGAACAGCTTGTCCGTGTTTTCCGTGAGGCCTCATAAAGTCTGTAAAATGAGAGGAAGAATAATTGCAGTGAGACATCTCTAGAACTCAGAGATGATTGAGAAGTAATGCATCTGTCTGGCCATTAGATACATGAAAAGCCCCTGCTTTCTCTTACATGCTCAAGCTGTGAGTCAGTATGAGCAGATTGTTTACAGTTTATTCACAACATGGAGTTGTGAACAAAATTCAAAACATGTGTGAGCATTCCTGCTCACACCCGAAGTACAAACTGACTTTATGGCTCTGCATATTACATTTTGGCACATCCAGCTGTTGTAAGGGTGCCAAGACTTTTTGTAGGAGTTCATTGTTAAAAGTATGTGCAAAGCTGTTTTAAAAATTACTTCCAGAGAGCTCAAGATTATAGAGATGAATTCATACGAGAAATGGATGGTGTAACCCTAATGCGCAAGAACCAGTTCAGAAATGGTGCCTTCTGGTTATCTGTAACAATTCATTTTAATCAGTAGCTGAACACACCAGCCCATGAGATTTCTGGGGTTTGCATCTGTTCAGTGTTAAATGGCGTCTTCTAGGTCCATCTGATGTGTTGGCAATTATGAAATTCGGCAGGAGACCCACATGTCCTGATGCTTCAGTGTCAGCAAGTCTACCTACACCTCCTGTACCAAGGCACAGGAAGAGCCACAGCCTGGGAAACAAGTGGGTACTCTGGGCTGGCTCATGCTCAGGCCATTGCATGCATCATAAGGGTTTAAGCTAGCAGCAGTGTTTGAGAACACTCTGGTATTTGTCTCTTCCATTTCATGTATTTCAAGAGTGCTTCAGGCTTTTCTGTGTATTCTCTAGGTTTTCTCTTGACACTTTGTTATTTTTACTGACTATTCTCTGCTAGTGCCAGACATCGGCAGTACTTGAAAGCTGTGTATCCACTTTGTCTGTGGATCCCTGGTGTGCATAACTGCTTGGGTTTTTTCTTTTGTTCAAACATCTGGCTAATACATCTAGGGAATCCTACTAGCTCCTTCGCACACTTCTTCAGGGAAGTTGTGACCTTTTGTACTGTTTTACGTGGGTAATCTGGATTAGAAACATTTTTCTCTACCATGTACCCAGCTCAGCAAGAGCACTGCCTCCCCAGTTAAGGTTTCTGCATCTACCAAATTTCATAATTAATGGGTTAGGGAAAAAGAAGTTCCTGTGACTTGTCCAAGGTCACAGAGTGTTGATGTGTTAGCTCAGCTTAGTGTGAAAGACCACTAAACAGTGGCTTATCTGGGGTCTGCTTTTTCCTGGTTTTCTACCTTTGCCCTCACCCAGGGTGTTCAGGTTTTATATGGAGAGGAGTCGAAAGACTTAAAATTTCCCCATATGCAGAGATTTCATAATTGTTACTTACAAAGACCACTAAAATCTGAAACTTGTTACGGTGGTCAAGGAGCAGATGTACAGCAGAGAAGTTTGAGCGGTGCGTTTAATTGCCTGCTACTTCATAGCCTGTTGATAGGGCACAGTCTGAGTGGAAATATCAGGATCCAAGAGCTGCTATTAGATGACATAAGAGGGGTTTTGAATTTTTCTCTTTCCAATTTTCCAGCATGATGTGTCAGTTCAGTGTAGTGGAGAGCAAAAGCGCCACCTTCCCGACGGAGAAGCCGCGGCACCTCCTGGATGACAGCGTCCTGGAGTCCCACAGCCCAGCCCGCGGCCACGCACCCAACTCGCATTTCACCAACGGCCTGTCCATAGGTAGGGTCTGGGGGGGACTGACATTCCTGCTTTTCTGTCCCAGAGATCTGGAAACTCAGAGAGATATTAGGCAATTAGGAATATCATTAGCTCCTGTGCAAAGACTGATCCCTTTCATGAAAGAAAGTAGATCAGGACACCTATTCAAAGAGACATGAAGGAAGATTTTCTTTGTGTATGCTCTGTATCTGACACAGTGTTTGTCAGCTTTCAGCGGGGGGGGGGGGGGGAAGGCCTACTGAAAAGTGGATTTAGATTTTGAGTGCTCCCTTTTTACAAAGAAACATTTAACAGTAGGTTTTAGAATATTGGAGAACAGTTCAGCTGTGCTGAGACTTCAAAAGAAACAGAAAAGGAACTTGTGAAAGAGGATGATGACAATTATGTTATGGTATTATGATTAATAAAATAATAATAAAAATCAAAGTGATCAAGAATCTAAGTTCTAAAGAGAAAGGCACCGTTTAAGTGGCCTGGGCTCTTTCTGGAATAGGAAATAGACTCTGAAGGATAGCAGGTAACTTGATGAAGAAGAGGTTGGCACAGATGATCTTTGAACTTCTGAAAACACGAGCACAGCTCACTGTTACACTGAGCATTAGAAGATCAGTCCTGGGCAAATTAAAACTGTGAGCTGAATAGCTGTGCCAGGGAAGGAGGGACAAATTGGTCGTATGCTTGGAGGAGAAATAGGAACTGTTGTTGTGAGTACAATCATGCTGATTTGTTACAGCTTTTAGCAGCAACATAGGGCTGGCAACTTGTCTATTACAGGTGTGCTTGCTTGTTGCACAATGATATCATGTCTGATAACTTTAATTGCCTTAACAGATGTGGTAGAAATATTGTCCTATAAAGTAAGTGGATTTTTTGTTCCTGAAGTGCTCAGCTGTTGAAGGAAAAGCAGTGTAATGAAAATTAAAGTAACATGTAGATGTCTGATGTTTAAACACAGCAGTAACAGTTTGTTCATCAGTGAGGTACTGTATTCTCATTATAGTTGGGAAGGCTCATGTAAGCCTCTTCAATTTTAGATTTTACCACAAACTCCAAAGACATCAACTTTGAAATGTGATTTGAGTAAGCAGTTTCCATGGTACTAGATACAAAGATTATTCTGGTGATGCACATACATTGGCTTTTTATTTTCCCTTGAGTGATTGTCTTACTCCTTCTCTTTACTACTCTTTTTCTAGATAGCAGTGAAAGCTCAGAATTCAGCGAGGAGCTGCCGTCAGGGCTCGAAAGGTGAGTCAGTCTTCATGTACACTCAGCACTCCACAAACTTAGCTAAGAAATTCATAAATGATCCCTAACATAGGTAAGCCCTAAATCAGTAGTTACTTATTACCAAATCATTGATTAGTTAGGGGCAAAAATACCCACCAAATTTTTCGATTTAAAGCACTGTAAAGTTACTGTGTTTTCCTTCCCATGGACCTGAAAAGATTGGGAACTCTCTTTGTCACATTTACCAAACCCCTGAACTGTTGAAGTCTCAGACTAGAATTTTCCTCATCAGATATTTGCATTCACAAACAGGGGTCGTTTATATGCCACGCTGGGGCCTAACTGGAGGGTACCGATGCGGAATTCTCCTAGGAGTCGAAGCTGTGTCTACAGGTACAGTTCAGGGTCTACCTCGCTTAGTGGATGGTGCTAAACTTCCACTTGGGTCTCTACGCTTTTCTAGCGTAATGTATTTTGTGTCCAAAAGTATCCTTGTATGACCATATCAATTCATGGGAGTCCTCATCTCCTATTAATGCTGAAGCAAGGGAATGGCCCATTCAGATGAAATTGAGTTTAGTTGTTGGTTTAACCAGTTATGTTTGGCTTCTGTATTGCAGAAAACTCACGTTTACTTCGGGGTTTGTGACATTACAGGAGTAGGTTTGTCATAAAGGCCATCTTTACCTCCTGTGACAAATAATGATGTTAGAAGGATACCTTCTTGATCCTTTCTCACAATTTATTTCCTGCTTTGCAGGACAGCTACCCATAACATCTGTTTGTGTCAGAGAGCTATAGTATGATGTGTTGATTTTGTACAATAAAGAGGTGTTACCTTGGACCCCAAGTAAGAGAGTGCATATGCAATGCCATATGTAGCAGGCACTCCCAGTGTTGCTTGTCACCGAGACATGGACGTTTCAGAAACAGATAATCCATTTACAAGCCAAAGAGAGGTGACATGGAAAACTCTATATAGTTAGAGGGATAAGAATCATTTGTTGTATCCATATGTGACCTGGACTTCATAAATCCTGCGGTAGTGGGAAGTGAAGAAGTATATATGAACAGTAAAGAAAACAGGCCCCTTAAACAGTATTGTGGAAATAGTGAGATTTAGTTGGGAGTTTAAATCCAGCCAGTTTTTATTTTGTATAAATCAGTTTGCTTCAGCTGTTGTAGAATTGTTGATATAATGTGTAAATGTAAGTACAGTCATTTTGCTTGAGCTAGCAACATCTGGTAGCAGCACGAGTTAGAAGTTAGTAATAAAAGTGCATACATTATAAGTAAGTAAAGGAATACATTTTGGAACAGTATTTCTTCTATTACACCTGCTTCTAGAAAATACTCGCCGTGCCCAAGGTAGATTTGTTTCATAAAGGTATACAAGCTAGAAATATAAAATGTAGGAGGACAAAAATGTGAAAAGCCTATTAAAACCACAAGGAAGGATTGCTCCCTAAAATACATTTCTGATGTTTATCCACCATCAGGTAATTCACATGCTTGCATTCATTCTTCCTTTTCTGGAATCTTCTACTGCTTTTATTAGAAGACTGGAACTGGCAAGATACACATCAGCACAGACAAGGCAATTCCATTTAATCCAAGGAGATGCACTTGCTAGTGGTGTTGCTATGTGTATCGCTTTCACCAGCGCGTGTTTATATGAGACGATCATACTTGTTCACAGACAGAACAGTGTTCCTTTCACAACTGAATGGTAGATTGTACACATGTCCTTTCCCTTGTATTCGTTATTAGACATTAGAATAATTAGAATTAGGTGGCCGTGGTAAACTTCACTGGCCCTAATATCAGGGCTGTGATCACTTGGCAATGAAAAGAGATTAGCAGCAGCTAATTCTAGCAGATCAACACCTGCCAGTCAGTCTTTGGTTGTTACCTTCTCAATGGCTGTTTACATCTCTAACTTAGCCTGTGCTTGGGTTCTTTCAGCTGTAGCGCTTTCTCACTGTGGTATGTGGGGAAGCTCTGTGTTTATCCTGGAAAAGCAAAAAATACTTTAATCACAATTAATTATTTGGCAGTTTTACATAGTTTTTGCAGCTTTCTTCCAGTTAGCCAAGGTAGTTTTCTACATTCTTTTTTGGTAGCTAAAGTTTATTTTAAGTTAAAATTACATTTGTGAGCACTCTTATTGAAAAATTGTAAGCAATAAATTTCCAGAAATCCAGATAATTGCTATAATTTGCTGGAATAAAATAGAAAATTTCCTGTTTTCCCTTTGATGACTTGCTGTTTTTCAAAGATCCTTGTTTCTACTTGATATCTGGGTCTGGAAAATATATAGAGTTAAGCATCAGGTAAACAATATAGGTAAGGCAATGCAGGAAAAATGTATTTAGAGCTAAATTATATTGCCTGCTTCTTGTCCTTACTTGTCTGAACAAATACATATGGCAGTGTTTTGTCTCTCCAGCCCAACAGGGGCCTGCAGCTGCACATTAGGTAGTTCCCTAGGAGTCATTACCATGGAAGGGCCATTAAGAAGAAAAACATTGCTCAAAGAAGGCAAGAAACCTACTGTAAGTAATTCTAACTTTTTCTGTGATTCTAATTCAGTAGTGGTTGTTTTAATTTCCAGATTAAACCTGCAGTTTGACACCACACAAAATGATGCTCTTTGTTATTATCAATTATAAAATCATTTTCTGTTCAAAGTTTTAGCTAGGTTAAAACAATGTTGGAACCTTTGATGTCATTTGTTCTACAGCAACTTTCCTTCTCCCTGCATTTGCAAGTAATGTCTTGAGTTGTGACAGCAGAGCAAGAGTAAAGCCACTTTATAAATCAGTATGCATTCCTGTGAGGGCTGAAATTTAGTATGGTGGTAAAATGGAAGTGCTGCAGGGCATCTACCCATAGCACCAAAGTCATGGTAATTCGCACTTAACATAAATTCACAGGTTTCACATGGTTCTAGTACTGTTCATTTGGAAATGTCTTTGTTTTCTGTAGAGTTCATTGATATTTTCTATCTGCAACCCTAGTGCTGAGTGCCAAAAGGTTTGGAGAATTGCAGAGATATCATCTCAGTAATTTTTAACGATCAAATGCAGAAGTCTTAAGATGTGGCCAGTAGAAGGCAGCACACTATTTTGCTGTGAAGCAGTCCTGGTATTTTTAGGAGATACCTGAGTAAAATGGATTGTATTCACAGCCAGCCACCCAAATGTAGGTAGCTGGGCTGATTTGCACCAGGAGACATTTTTTTATCTAACTCTCCATCCTTGCTTCTGAAATTAATTTTGGTGGCACTTGGACTTGCTTGTGAATAGACTTTTGAAATGTTAGAGATATGCCGAGTTTTTCCTCATTTTTTTCATTTCTGATTCAGCTCTCCTCATGGACGAGATACTGGGTTATGCTTTCAGGAACAACTCTTCTGTACTTTGGAGCAAAATCTTTAAGAGGCACTGAAAGAAAACATGTAAGCTTTAAATTTATTCTAAACCCAAAAATTGCATATTCATAAGCCGACCTGGATGGGTGGTTGAAGCGTACTTGCTGTTCCAGGCTAAGCCATATGTCTGCACAACTTTTACAGTCAAAAGTTAATCACTACTGCCTCAGCTGTGATTGACTTGTCTTCTCTTCCAGTATAAGTCTACACCTGGTAAAAAAGTCTCCATAGTGGGCTGGATGGTGACACTTCCCGACGACCCTGAGCATCCTGATATTTTCCAGCTAAATAATCCTGACAGAGGTAGGCCTTGCAGGATTGATGTTGTCTGCGGTATGTTTCTGTGACAGAAAGTAGACTGATCTGTTAATGAGCTTGCAGGTTACAGAACTTGCAGTGGCAAGTTAAAAAGACTGAGGAGGGAGTTTTTCAATACGGAATTTTCAAGGGAGGGTACAAATGAAATTGAACATATTTCTACACTATGCTGTTGTGCTCCTGTGGCGCCTACAGAGGTGTTGCTGTATCTTAACAGTTACAGTTTTAGAGAAATTGCCCAACCAATATGAGATTGCTGCATGTCCATGTGCCCACTTACCCTGTTGTCTGTTTCTGCATAGCTTTCTTAAAATCGGTCAATACCAAAATTTGACTTACACTGAGGCCAATTAAAATACCATGAAAAGTCTCCAAACATTAAACCATTTATTAAAAAAAAAGCCTTTGAAGTAATTATTACTTCTTAATAAATAATTTTGAAGTGCCATAACTCTACCAACTTTATTAAACTTCAGAAATTCAAAAGACCTGAAAGCCCTTGGAGTTATTTTGAGGGTTCCTTAACTTTTCACATTGTCAGCTTTGGTGCTGACCATGGATTTGTATCTACTGTACAAAGTGCATCTTCTGGGTGTTGATTAAAATGCACAAAGTGTTTGATTGTATTCACAAAATAACCAGGCATAGAGGAAACTCGCCATAGGACTTCGACGAAAACTAAGTTCAGAGATATCAGGAACATTCAAAACAAGTTTGGCAGTAACCACAACAGTCAATGAGAAGAAAGCCAGGAGTAAATTAGATATGACCTAAGTCTGTATTTGGCCTCTCTGCCTATGCGCTCCTCTTTGCTTTGCAGGCCACACATGTTCTCCTACTCCTCTGCTCAGGGACTGTTGGATAACATGCCTCACGTTGGCTGTAATATATGAGCAAATTAGTTTATTAGTTTACTTCAGGACTTTGGCTCCTGCATAGAAATTAGAATCCCTTCAAAACTCCATGTAGAGCCTTTGATTTTCTGTTGTTTTGTAGGCAATGTTTACAAGTTCCAGACTGGTTCAAGGTTTCATGCAATATTATGGCATAAGCATTTGGATGATGCATGTAAAAGCCACAAGCCTCAGGTAATGTTTTAAAACTTATTTCTACCAACTTTTGTCATATTTTCCAGAAAATCCTTACTAGAAAAGATGCCTCTTTTCAGTCTGTGTGCACACACTGTCCTGTGGGGACAGACAGAATTCCTCATTTTGCATATTGGTCCAGTTTTTTAGTAGGAGGAATTAAAATATCTAAAACTACGTAATTCTCACCAAATCGGGAATTCTGCAGGTCTAGCTATAGGTTTGATTACCTAAACAGCATGTAACATCTACAGTTAACTGCTTCAAGTGAGGTTGAAGCTCTACTTCAGAAGGGACTTTCTCATGGACAAAGAAAGCGTGCTAGCATTCACTGCAGTGCCTGGGTCTGTAAGTGCCATTGAAGAGAGTGCCCTATAGAACACCATGTTTGTTCTTTATATAGCAGCCTCATTCTTCTCTTGAGGAAAATGTTCATTCTTAAAAGGATTTCCAAACGTTTATATTAACAGGATGCTGATCCATGTAGAACCTAAAACAGGACGCAGCTCAAGAAACTTCTTAAAACACACACACACATCCCTCACACACATACTGCTGATTTCCTAGAATACTTCTGTTGGATTTGGTCCATGAATAGAAAAATCATTTGAGTCTTCATCTTTCAGTTGTGGGGTTAGCCCTCTTTTGGGCCTGCTGTGCACTGATTACATTTTTCACATTGGGTAAGAAATGATTGGCCAACTTTATTTTGTAACCTTAAGGTTTCCCAAGCCTCAGGAGCATTATACTGCTGAATAATTCGCATTCTTTTTCAGGTACCTCTTAATCTAATGTCATTTGAATAATTTGCTCTCCTACCTGGTGCGACTTCAAGTGCCAAACTGAAGAAACAGGCTGTTGTTCTCTAAGGAGGAAGAGGAGAATGGTTTTCCTGACATGAGCCAGCCACAAATATTACAGCACTTTCCTATGTAACTTGAAAGTGATTCTGAGACAGCTTTTAAAAGCAGAAAGTGAATGTTGTCCTTAGGACCTGATACAGTCTCATGCACTGAGTGAAAGCTGACAAGTTAGATGGACAGAAGATTAATCCTGACTCCTGCAGGATGCTAGAGCCCTCAACATCTTGTGGTCAGAGACTGCCATGAACTGATGTCTGACCACAAACTGAACATATGTCTTCTGCCTATTCTTTTTTAAACAGTTCTTTTTATTGTTAAGCTGCTTTGTGTGACTGAAAAATATTTGGCCCATGTTGGGTTTCAATTCTTTCTAATGCACAGAATGATTGACAGTGTTAACTTGCTGTAAAGTGTCAATTAGAATAGAAAATGGTGGAACAACGTTTTTATAATCTAAGTGCACTGAGCTGCTTGGCAATGTGGCTGCCTCAGATTTTGTATCAAATCTCTGGACAATTCTGCTGTTCACATTTGAGCTATTTGGGAAAACATGTATTTTGGCACAGGACAGTTGGTTTTCTTTCCATTCAGTTATGTTACTCAGGAATGCCCTGACAGTGGATTTAAGGCAGTTTAAATTTGTTATGCTGCAGGTGGTTTTTCATTCTCTTCCTAGTGGCATAGCTGCTTACAAGTTTGGGGTTTTTTCTTCAGTCTGAATGTTGTTCATCTTAAGCCCCTTGGTACAGGGAAGCAGGTAATGAGATGTTATGTATCACATGGCCATGGCTTCTCAGAATGATTCCATATCATCGTTTCTGTTCTGTCTTTCTGTGGATGACTCGGCTCCACTCAATTCCAGTACATGATGCACCTTTATGACATATAGTACTGGCACATGGTACTGCTATTACAAAATCAGGATGGCAATAAAAGGTAGGGAAAACTAACAGAAGCCCCCAAACCAGTGTCCAGAGAACAAAACAGAACAAAATACACCAAAAAAAACCACAAACCCATCAAAAAAGAATGTACCTGAGCCGCCTTCTCTGAAAGAAGTGTCTGCATCTGTAGCTGTATCTCTGCTGTGCCCTGGCACTCCTATGGTCAGAGTTTTTCTCTGTTCCCATGCTAAGTTGAGCACTTTTTCAGTTTGAAACTCTTGGGCCATAAAGCATCAGTATCCAGACTTCATCACTCACCAGAAAACCTCTTTTGAGTTTCCTGAGGTTGCACAGAGGAGAAATTTGCAAGCCAACCTCTAGCTTACAAACCATAAAAATATGGAAGTCAGTTTAATTGAGCAGAGCCTCTGTTAGAACAAGCTCCCTGGCACTGGGGGTATTTATTCCATGGACTGGAATGATTTTCTAAATTTTGGTTTTGGAACTTCTCTAACAACAACAAAACAAACTGTATTTTTAAATGTAGGGCAGCTTTAACTTTTGTGGTATTTTAAGTGTCCATGTTGCAATCCTGAGAATGAAGCCTAATACATACCAGCTTTTCAAGAAAACGAGTTCCTGACAACTGCATTTCGATCCTGGGACATGTCGAAGTATATGTAAAGCTGACAGAGTTTCTTTGATAGCTCAGGATTTGTGTGAAGAGTGGTAATGCAAAATATATTCATACTTTTTTCTCCTTTTTTTGCTAGATTAAGACAACTTTGAACTAGGAAAAAACATCGATATCTGCAGGCACAGAGGGTCTATTGCCATTAGAGACAGTGTAGAAGCTTTTGAATGTGGTAAAATCCTGTCACCAGTAAATTACTTCATACTTTTAGACTGTGATACAATATTATTCTGCACCTGTGGACTTTTGTGATTAGTTACCAGTGAGGTTATTCATGAGGATGCAAATAATAAGTGAACTGTCATTTTAGTGAATGTGCCTCCTATGACCATGTGTATTGTGTGTTACTAGCATTAGGGCTTGAACCATGTGCAGAACAGTGACCAAAATGATGACACACTGCCTAAAACACAACTGGTTAAGGTAAGAGGGTTTTCTTTAAAGTTACTTTATTAGTAGCCCTTTCCTCTTAAAGGATAGCCACCCGATCTGTCTTAGATATAAGCTAAATTTGAAGGAAGCATGTAAATACTCATTTCTAATGTGATGTAGTGGAAGTGAACACCAATGAGGACTTGACACGTTTTCTGGCATCTTGCAAATGAGATAAACTAATGGATGCTGTAACAACTTTCAGTTATGTTTAACAAGTCTTTCTTGGAAAGAAGAATAGCTGCTGACTGATTCAGTAGCAATAAATGAGCCTGTAAACACTCAGAATTTAATTGCTTCTAGAATTTAAGGGTCTCTAAAGTGTTACATGTTATTCTGTGTACAAGAGGTAGAGTGTGCTAGCATTCAAAACCACACTTTTACTCAAAATCACAAGCCGTACATAGAGCCTGTTGGAGAAGTTACAAAAAGGTCCATTTGCAATTGGTTGTAAAACAAATTCCCAGCTAGAAAGGAGGCATCTTTGCCAGAAGCCACCATGGGCCCCAGAAGTGTGTGGCATGAATGAAAGGCAGTATTTATGAATGATTCTTATACCCAGTCATCTGTCACTGACAGAAGCTGGACCTGTGGAGAAATTAAAATCTTCAATCCTGCTCAAGCCTCAAACTCAAATCCTACTCAAAACCTTGGAATTTGGAGATATGTCCAAAAACCCCCCTTTAACTCCATCACACTATTATTTGAATGTAAAAATGTTGTATAGAATAAAGATGAACATAGCAGTTAATAGTTTTACACAATAGTCAGGTAAACATCTTTTCAGTATAGCACAACTGTGAAATTGCTGCACAATATGACAAAAAAATCAGCATTATGGCAGTATAAGGATATTACTTAAATACCTTAAAAACAATTTTAAGTGGGTTTTTGAGTATTAAGCAGTTTGTAGCTGCTGATTTGAGTTTTTATGCTGTCATTTGGTACTATTTGCTCTCATCTGGTACTTTTAATGTGAATTAAAAGCTGCTATTGAAATACAAATTATTACATATTAGTCCTGATTGATACAGCATTTTCACAAAAATATCACAGACCGTACAAGTTCTCATGCATCCAAGAGAATAACTGCAACAGTTGGATACAAATAAACATTGTCGGAATTGTGAAGATGGAAAATGTACGTAGGCAATATTATTAATTTATTAATGTGCAATTTTGATGTCATTCAGTGCCAAAATGTATGTTTTTCTAAATAGCACTAAAATGAGGCAAATAAAGTAGTTTTCAAATGGCAATTTACTTGTCACATTACAATGTAAACCGATTTCAACATTTGGGTTTGTTTTGTGTGAAAACTGTTGCACTATTTTTGGCTGTATTTTCCAGCAGTCCACTGCATGCCATTTGTGTAAGGACTCTTTCTTTAACCCTTGTGAACTGTCTCACCCATTATAACCCTGGTGTTGGAATCTAGGTTTTTGGCAAAGTATTTTGTTACCTCAGTCTTGTATCGAGTTGCTGTATTTTTCAGTTTGTTACATTGATAATGATTGTTTCACTAATTAAATAATGTAAAAAAAAAAAAGAAGAAAAAGTTTGTTTACTTCAGCAGCAAATTGCGTTTGGTTGTAAGCTGAAAAATGTGCAGACTGTATATGCTGTTAACAATAAAATGTTCTGAAAAAGACTAGTAAAGGTATAGAAGGAACATGTGGGCTTAAAGGCAGCAAGCATGTTTTATTTGTGGATCAATGGTAATAGAGTTGAAGAGACTTTATAATGCACAATGTGTAGCCATTTAATAGTATAAATACAACAGAATCCAAATTTGTAACAGAAAATTGAAAAAACTTCCAAATTTGCCTTTTTTTTAAAGTGGGATTTGGAAAGTCCAAAGAAGTGGAGACAAACCTATCGTGCTCTTTTCCTAAGAAATGTATTTTTGTTTGATGAAACATTGGGGTGGGTTGCTCCATCCCTGGCAGTGTTCAGGGCCTGGTTGGACGTGGCTCGGAGCACCCTGCCCTAGTGGAAGGTGTTCCTGCCCATTGGCGGGGGGTTGGAACTGGTTGGGCTTTAAGGTCCCTTCAACCCAAACCATGCTGTAATTCCCCATTCAAGGCAAATAAGATCCATGTTATGATTGGCAAAGAAGGTGCTTTAATTTTTCTGCAGAAACATAATTTCATGAGCAGTTGCTTGAGAGACAAATTGTAACCTACTATGAAGGCAAGACCAAAATCAGCTCATACAAAATAGGTACTTTTAGAGCTGAAAAAGAAATACGTATCCCCTTCCTGAAATGGACTCCTTTTCCTGTTATCCTCCAGAAACAGGAAGAGTGGTTTGAGGTTTTTTTTTAATTGCTTTGTAGTGCTGGAAATCACTTGGATCTGTACAGTTTTTTTCCAGGGTCATGTCCAGTGTTTCACTATAAATATTTTATAAGGGAAGCATCAGTTAAGTGTCTCTTAGATCTACCAAATGGTTCTTTGCACTGATAGCATCAGTTTAAATGCTGAAATTCTTTGGAATTGCTTTCCTCCCCATAGACAACAGGATAGAAAATAAACAAAGTGAGGCATTAGGAAGGAAAGGCAACAATCACTATATGCCAGATTGCCTCCGTAACAATAATAATGGCAGATTACAGGGGAAAAAAAGGACTGCTTTCTGCATTACAGTATTTCACTATAAGGGAACATGTTTTTGTGATAAAACACCCAAAGATGAGTACTGAAGAGCTCATTAAATGCTCCTGATGTCCAAGTCTTTTATTTGTAACCTGGGGAAGAAAAACCAAAATGAAATCTTTAAGAAGTTTGTTCCTACTTTAGATGCCAGGCTGTCCTGGGTATGTGAGTGAGGGCACTGGTAAATTGCATTGATTTTTGTTCTGAAATCAGTGATGGTGGTTGTATTTCCATAGCTGTGATCTACTACTGTGAGCATTTATTTACCAAATCCTGAAATTCTCTTTGCTTAGGGGGAACATAAAGAAAAAAAGAAGTCAAAGTTCACATGTCTCAGCAGACTTCAGATGTGAAAGTAACTCAGATAAGCATGTTAGGAAGGATGAAAACACCCATTTTGCGTCACAGTTCTGCATAAGAAAATGCGGATAGTAATGAATTGGAGGAAGTATCCTTTTTATTTCTGGCCTTTGCCTGTAGCCGTGCTCTTACTGCCAGAAATCAGCTTTTCAGATTTAAGGAAGAGTAGATTGTGTTCCAAATGATTACTTGCTTCTGATGGTCCCTGCTTTGGGTTTGCAAGCATGTTGTAAGCAAGTAAAAAGTAAGCAAGGTCAGAAAGCAAATCCATTTGTTGTAGTGTACATGTAGAGAGAAGTCTATCCAATTCTGCAGAATAGAAAAAGTAAGTAAGCAGCTAGATAAATTATTTTACATCTGATTTGTTAATTGATAGCACTAAATAAAATGACTTTTTGAACACACAGGAACACTGTAGAACCCTGGAAACACTGGAAGGTAGTTGCAGCAAAATGGTTACCGTTGCTTGCAATTATGCAAAACTGGTTATGTGAACCTGTTTGACACAAACACAATGAATGTATGCATTGTCTTTTAGAAGGTAACGTCAAGGGGCAAAGCAAGGAAGTGCAAAGCAAGGTAAGGGGCAGCCAGCTGGTGCAGGAATGAGTAGGTGAAGATTAAAGAAAAAAAAACCAAACAAACAAAAAAACCCTTTACTTTCTTTTCAATTACAAGATGTTCTTTGCTGCTTTCAGGTACAGCATACTCAGAAGTCCAACTAGTCCTTCCTGCATTGTTTAATAGCACAATTGTTTTAATTCTTTTGACAGTTGGGAGTGGGGAGGGAATAGTTTCTATTTCGCTTATCAGCCTCAAAGAGGGTTGCTGAGGAGACTTCAATCTTCAGATCATAAGGGTGAATGCAGGTGGCAGAGTAAAAGCGTGTGTTTGCACAGCTACTGAGTTACAAAAGTTACTTAGCCATTACAAACACCATTTTTGCAGCCATGCTTTTGGATCACTCTGTGAAGCCCAGCACCTTGTATGTTGTATATGAGAGTTAATATAACCTATTGTTTTGCATAAATTGTTTTCTACAGAAGCATTGCGTGTGCTGAACCCCTCCACAACCAGAGAGGGCTTCCTAGGTCTTACAGCAGCACAAATAAGGAAGTTTGCATGCCAGTTCAGATGTAACTAGTTTATAAAGAGCTAAAAAGTTTTATTCCCCTGTGTGTATTTTCAGAAAGAGAGAGGTAATGTGGGTCACACACAGGGAGCAGAATTCACACTTGGGCTTACCCCACACTGCTATCCTTGGAGTGCACTATGAGGAGCACAGGGCTCTATCAGACCTAAAGAGATCACCAAGTGGTGAGTCTAAAGCTTTTCTAAATTTGCGGAACTGAGTAAAGGGGAAGAGAAGAAAGGGCCCGAAGGGGGAGGTGCATGGCCTTTTATTATTTCTCATGAGCTACTTCACTTTTGCTTTAAGGTAAATGGGCCAGGTGAGGCCTTTCTGTCTGAGTGGACCCTTTAGTCTCCCTTCTTACCTGTCTCTGAAGTTCACTGTTTCTCTCTTACCTTTCACCGTGCAGAATAAATAGAAATGCTCAGTGAACTTTCTGTTTCCACAGAAACTTGTCAGCGTATTTCAGGATGGTTTTTAACATGTTCTAACATTCTGCTCTCTCTCTCTAGTTAATTAACAATTAATATAGCCACCAAGAAAAGCTCTGCCAGGAAAGGGGGACACATCAGTACGAAGTCCAACTGATAGTGGCCTGCTTCCTTCTGTTGGTGATTTGCATAAAGTCACAACAAATCAGACTGAGAGACGCCTCTTGCTGACCCCCACTCTTCCTTCAGCTTAATAATCTCCTGACATCCTGATAGGGACCATGAGAGGAGACCTAGAATGGAGATTTCACTGAAGAAACTGCACGTCAAAGGTCAGTTTAGATGTTTGGAGCCACCTCCATCTACAAGGTGACACAGTTCCTTTAAAAAAGGACTCTAGGCATGAGCACAAGCCCTTTGGAAAATCCAGAGTGCCCAGCACAAACAGTTGCAGCTCTGGTGTTGTGCTACAGCTCTGTGAAAGTAAATGTGAAGTCTTAAAGGTGAAGGACTTTTTTCTTTTTGCTAATAATAACTTGTTTTGTCATGGTGTTGGTGGGGGTTTGTATTAGTTTTTGGTCTTTTTTTTTTAAGTAACTGGCGCTCCCAAACGCTTGTTGCTTTCAGAGTCACCAGCCCTTGCTGGTCTGACACGTTCTGTGTCATGGGCTGAATTGAATGCTGAGACATGGAGACATCCACAGCTGAGCTGGATTCTAGGCCTAGTTTGTCATTTCTGTAGAGGGAAAAAAATGAGGAGGAGGGAAGCAGAAATGTGTGTTTACAGCAAAAATATGAAACATAACTGAAATTGCGCAGAGGCATAGGTGGATTTTGCAAGAACAGATGTGTAGAGAAGATAGGATGAGGAAAGAGTAGGCTGTTGTTAAGATCAGGAAGAGAAAACTGTGACAGAGCAGTTGCTTAACTATCTGAAACAGGTTATTTAGCAAGAAAAATTGTTTGAATAAAAGCCAAAAAGAATACCATAAAAAAAGATGAAAACAAAGCTGCTGCCTGGCTGTGCTACTTCATTCCTCTTGGTAATTTTGTACGGTACAAGCGTAAGATAATTCCACTTTTGTTTCTGCCAAGT